CATAAAATGTTAGCTAATAACCTATATTTTAATAGTATACAAGTTTTAAGTTCTTAATTTTATAAGGCAATATAAAAAAAAATTCTGAATTTCCCCTGGTGTGACTCACGTGACACATTTTCTCAAGGTATGTTTTCAACTCTATTCTATCCACCATCCCCCAAGAAACTGAGAAATTAAACGTAAATTACTCACTATAAAATCATCATTGCGCAGACAAACCATAATGTTTATAGCCTTATATTTTGTTTGGTTACAGAGCTATCAAATAGAAAATCAGACCCCTCCTGCCACATCCTCTCTTTCAAGATTTGTTAATAGTTTTCTTACGTTTAATTATATGTAACCAATAGAAAGTCAAGATTTTCATCTATCAAATGACATTTTATAACGTTGTGTTCCAAACAGAATATCATCAATTTCATTCAGAGTACAAGATTCGTTCCCGTGTGAAAGTTAATGACCAGCTTGGATGAATCTGTAACGGCTCTAGTTGCATAGTTAGAAAACCAGAAAAATATTGAGTTAGGAAAAATTGTCTGCTTTCTGTATGTTATTATTCTATGTTCTTTGGTGCAATATTTAATTAAATAAAAATTATTTAATGCACTACTACCATTAGTATAAAAAATTTCTGATTAAGTCACAGCGACAATCAATAGCAAGACAAAATAAGATTGGGCAAGTAATTTATTTCTTGTTTTTCACATTTATTCTTTATTTATTATTATAAAAGTAACTAAAATGGAAAAATAGATATCTCTTTAGATTAGTTAATGTTAGGTTAGGTAAAATAAAGAATAACAATAATATAATAAAACATTTTACGAGGCATTCACGTGAGCTGCTCAGTGAGCAGCTCATGGGTAATGTTATTCATTCCCCAAGTGATTACAACATAGAATGGTGGGAATAGTAGTTAGACACAGTTCAAAGGGCAATAAAACAATAAAATTAAATTATAAATAGATGTATACTGTTACAAGTTTAAAACTACTTAGGATAAATGAAAGTAGTTTCATGCTACATTTCAAGTCATTCTAGATAGAAAAGGAGAGTAATTTACTTTTTGGGGGGGGGGGTACGAAGTCATTCAAATTCACCAACCTAGTAGAGTTATGGTAGAGAAAATAACAAATAAAATATAAAGTTTAACTGAAAACAAATATCTGAAGTGCATTTAGGAGGTTTCAGAGATTACACAAATGAAATTTGGATTTTTGAGATGAAGAAAAGTATTTTTAATCTTAACATGAAAATCACTTTGCACATGGATTATTCAAAAGAAGTACTGGATATATAATGTTCAATGAAAGACTGCCAAATTTCATGAAGATATACACACTATATCAAAAGTTAATAGTATCTAATCTATAAAGACTTTATACGAGTACAAAAAGGTCACAAGGTCAGTCAAATGTGTTCTGCATGTCACGAGATTGTACTTTTTTACATACAAAATTTATTTAAGCAATGATTAATGAACGAAATTGGGATTAAAATTCATATTAAATTTCAAAGATTTTTATTATATAATTTTTAGTTCCTTCATTTAAAAAGAAACCTTAAAAGAAAAATTCTTAAACTTCAGTCTGATGCAAAAGTTCACAAAATGTAACTTCTAGACTTTTTAATTCAAATACTTCTTGACATATGCTACCCTTTTATGTATAGATAGAATCTAGGTTAATTGCTCTGTTTACACATTCTTCTTTCAAGCTCAATAGGGCACATTCTGAGAAAAGAAATTTCTTGGAACTATTGACAGATGCCAGGCCCAATTTCCACACACAGAGTTGTGATTTCTTATCCAATTATAATTAGTTGAGCTAGATGTTTATAACCAATAGAAAAACCACATTTTAAAATACAATCTCCCAATAGTTATTTTGTAATTGGTACAAGTAATTCCATAGAGAACTTGTCAAACCGCTCTTAGCATTGTTGCTGCTTTTGTCCTTGCTAGCACTTTAGCAATGTTTCTCACCTATAAATATGTTAGTTAGATAGACAATTAAATTGTATTTAGGTTTTAATTTTATACTTTAGTTAATCATGTGTTATTTATGTTTTAAATGCATATTAGAAAGGTTTAATAATTTTTTTAAATACAAGACAAACTGCCTTGGTTCATCTGGCGAAGCATAGTAGGCAAATGACCCAACATTCTGACAAAATATAAAGTGTCTCTGCCTACGAGACCCTAATATTGCCCGAGAATGCCCATTGACGTGTGTTGCAATAAGTAATAATGCTAAAGGACAGGAAAGGAAAATAAAGTATATGTGAAAAAGTAAAAACTTACAATCAAGAATATAACTGACAGAATTTTTAAGATTATTCGATCAAAAATTAAAAGGTATGTATATTTTTTCTGTTTTTAATTTTAAACATTTCATTGCACGATACATTGATGATAATACTCGAAATGTTCAGAGTCTGAGTGCAAATAACTATAATAACAAACCTTTAGTTAAAATACTAAACTAAAATAATCTTTCTTTTTGTACGAAATACTTGTAATCTTTAACAAAATCTTACCAATTGTTGTGAAGATATGTTAAGAAAGCTCAGAGTTATTGTAAGTTTTGTTGAACTGTGTATCATTCTCCATACGAGAAGTAGCCAAATGCGTTCAACCCCGTAACCATAAGGTTAATGCACACAAAAGACACTCATGGCCAGCTACACTTTAAATCCACAAGGAAAGAAAGAATTAGTTATAGCTTATAATCAACATTATACTTTAATAAAAATTTTCTACTATTCCAATTTGAAGAGACAAGTAAACTATAACCATATCAAATATAAATTAATTTTCTATATGCTACATCCCCTACCTTAATATCCAAAATAAAGTCCATGAAGTGGTCATATGTGTTGCTTCTTTCTCGACAGCGAAGACACAAAACTGAAAAGGAAAAATACACCAACTCTCGCATAACAAGTCAAATTACTTTTATGTTCTTTAATTATAACATCAAACATCAAGTTAGTTTGAGGTGATTCGGAGTTACTATACTGATTAGAAATTTATTAAATTTCCATATGGGACATGTAGAATAAAAGTTTTAAGGCAAGTGTGAGTTTTATGTTTGAAGTCTCTCTTTTGATTTTCTTGGTGAGATTTGGTTTTGCTCATTTTTGAAAAATTCTAGCACAAATTGTTTAATAATATCAAAAGATAGATAATTAGTAGAGTTCACGTACTTCATCTGTTTACTCACATTACACGCATATTATCATGTGGGAGTTTTATATTTATCAAAAAACTACAACATCATGGAATATTTTCAGAAGACAATTGCAATTTTTCAGGGATGACATGGACAAAGAAATCTGGAAATTGTGATGGTACTTTCTTCAAGAAAGAGAAGTTAAGCACCACTTAGATCCTGGAAGATGGATTGCTGTGATTGTTTGGAGAAGCATTTGTACGAATGTCAATCTTACCAACACATTCTTTTAACACACATTTTAAAATATGTTTTACTTCATCATTGTTTTACTCATTTCAAAACTTTTGTATTGATTGTCAAATTTCAATGTGGCAACCTCATGTACTATAAAATGGAAGAAAGAATCAGACTTGTTTACAGCTGTAGCAATAAACTATCATAATGTCATAAAAAATGTTATTGATCTTACAAAGATGTCAGAAAACTGTTCTGATCGAGTTAACTACTTCCACATGTATCTTGGAAACTGTCACATCCAAAAATACCCAGAATAATATATCAATGTTGCATTTATATACCCGGGAACCCAAAAACAGTTTTCTACATAGTGCTTTTGTGGAGAAACTTGGCCCTAAAGTCAGAAACTTTCATCATTAAGCTTACGCAGGAAAGTCTCCACCTTCCTTTTAAGTAAGCCACTGTAAACTGGTGGTGAAAGCTTGTATAATTTTTATGCAAATCAAAGGTTCAAATCTGACCTGTGCTGATTTACTTTATTATACATCTTTAGAATAAATTTTGACTTTGCCAAATAAGATACTTTTAAATATTAAAATACTCTTTGACCTGAAATACCTGGATAAAAAGTGGCGAAAACAAAACAATCTTCCAGAAAATAAGAATCATTTGTGAAAAGGACAGATTAGTAATAAGTTAAAAAGTGACTTGTAGAACATAGGAGGTATTCATGGTTTTAACCTCCAACATAAAACCATAAAAATAAACTGGTGAAATATTTTTGGATATGACAGTTGCTGAGGTATCCATGAGTTTATTTTTCCACATGTAGAAATGTCAACTATTTTTTCACTTTTGATTTAATTTCTCTCATGTTCATTGACGTATGTCAATAAGCTTGGTGTTCAAATTCTATACTATTTAAGTTTTAACTTCTTAATTTGAAAATTTTGTGTCACATGATGTATCTGAGCTCCAATTTCTGTCCTGAATTTTCTAACTTCTAAAATAGTCTGTTGCAGTTTCCAAACAATTAGAAATACAAATTATACATAATTACAAGCAAGACTAAAATTTGGACTTCATACTTTTCTGATGAATTATCAGTAAATTTTGTAAAACCCATCAGAGAAGTCTCCCCCCCACCCCCCGACTTTTGAGATTAGTTGCTAATCAACTTTACAATGATGATGGACATGTTTATAAAGAGCAGATACTTCTTTACATAAAACTTTACAATTCTGCATTCAGTTTTGCCATCATAAGCCATTAGTCAAGAAGAATTGTTTGGTTCATGTTGATCAGATTTGATGCTCTAAACAGTAACACTTTTTTTTAAACATATTTAAAACTTCATGTAGCTTTTAAGTATGCATTTTAGAACATGAAAAACATATCAGTCACTACAACTGCTGTAATGTACCTGTATTTGTATGTAAGTTTGTCTTGGACACTCAAATTTTTCAGGCCACATGAAGCTTAGGGAAGAATGTCTAAGATTTGTATTTGACTGCAGATTCAACGTTTCTTTGCATATTTTTTATTGTTATATATCTTTTAACAAATCTAAGTAAAATGTAAAAATTATAAATTTCTCAGCTTAGCTTAACATAATTCCAGTAAAAAAAGAAAGAAAAAAGTTTAAGATCTCACTAGCTCAAGCATGATGTGAAACATGACACTCGAATCATGTGCTGTTCATTATCATTATCTCTACAGGAAACAGCTAATAGGATCCCACTGTTATTGTTTTTGAGTGTGAGGGTTACTTCTCCAATGGGTACAAAACCATGATAAAACTATACAAGTAAAACAGATGTAAAAAAGTTAACAGTTGAAATTGTTAAAATAAGCAATTTGAAACTTTCTGATCAATAATAAAGTCCGTGTGGAGAGAAAAATGGTACTATTTGTTTTTATTTCAAATTTTCATTTCACTGTACTGTACAATGATTATTTCTCTATAGTTAGTGTTAAAGTAGAAAAAAAGAAGAAGAAAAAATATAAAGTTTTATATAAAAAAAACTTTTCATATTCATTTAGGCGGTTCTAGGAGTTGTGCAAATGACATCTAAAACTAAGATGAAAATTAGTAATTTTATTTTGAACACAAAAATCACTTTTTACTCACACTGACTCAGTAAAAGCTTTAGACATTTACAGACAAATCATCAGTAGAAATACTTGTAGAAATACTGATTTTTTGTGTACAACAGACTTTTAATATTTGCTATAAAACTTCCAAATTTTGCAAACACAGAGTAAATTCATAGTTATAGTATGTATAATTTCACAGTTTCAAGGCTGGGCAATTAAGAGATAAAATATAAAGCTTTACTAAAAAAAACTTATTAATTTAGAAGGTTCTAAAGGTTTTGCAAATGAAGTACAAAAATTGTAATAAGAAAAGAAACATATTTAATCTCACCATGAAAATTACTTAGAATGACTAAGTAAAGGCTTTGGAAATTTACAAATCTATTTAGTTGTAGACTTCAGTAGTTTATTTTTGATGTTAAAATATTCTGAAGGGAGAAACTGAAGCTCAGATGTCATGTTATATGGAAGAGTGAAGATTAAAAATATTTAATATTTCCTTTTGAAATTAAGATATTAAAATTTAGATAATATATTTTTATATCAATTTTGTTGACATACACCGATAATAAAGTTGTTTAACTCTTGAACGTAACTCTGTGAATGGTCATAACATATGAACTTTGACCTTACAGTGCACATATGATTAAACAGCAAAAACATTGTTTACTGTATAATTAGATATGCAACTTGATCTAAAACTAATCGTTTTCATAAACACCTTCTTGAGTAGAAAATAAGGTTTTTTAGCAATACTAATTTAACCCTTATATCCAATAATTTTAAGTATGTAGAATACCAAAAATGTTAGATAAATACCTAATTCTACCAATATGGAACATGTTCTTCATTGTAACACCTACTACTTGAGTAGAATACCTGGAGAACTAAAGTGATATTCTACAGAAATGTATCACAGAAGGTGATTTTAAACACAGATACATGACCACTGAAAAGTGCTTCACACTTAAATAGAGCAATACCTCCAACTTGACTTATACGGGTTTTCACATGCACAAAAAGTATAATTTAAAAAATTAAACTTTGGCATCTAGCAACAACAATCCCAGCTGTAAAACACAGAAGAAATTGATGTTTTCTTATAACTTTGTGTTATAAAGAAAGTATTGTCACTGAGGAGAAAATTTACTATCCCAAGCTACAATGAAATTTTTAAAGCATATAGTTTTCTAGCATAAAGAAGCATTTCATTGTCTAAGATAAATTTTATTATGTAAAGGAAATGAGACACAACTAAAAGAAACACAAAGTACTACATAAGGCATATATAATGGCTTTTCATTCAAGCTTACCTTGACTCCTGTGGTAGCCTCCAAATATATGATTTACCACAGTAGTTTCCTTACTTGAAGGATCAAGTCTGAAATATGTGGGTATTTGTTATAAAATTTCTATTTAATTTAACAAAAACGTATTTATCGTATTATAACAATAAACAAAATAATTCAGAAAACATTTGCATACTTAAAACCTCAAAACTACTACATACAAGTAGTAGGAAAGATTACAATTATCCAACATTTCTCCACAACTTACGCTATTATATCAGCTCTATTTAACACAACAGGAGTACAATTTGCAAAGAAATAAATGGAGTAAGAAAAATAAAATTACTTGACATTGCCATCATAATTTGATAAACAAGCTCGCCACAGGTTGTCTACAACATAACGTAAAAACTCATGGGCATCTTCCTGGCGTCCAAACTGAAAATGTTTGGCTATAGATTTCAGTTTCTGGTATATGTATAGGGGCTTGATAATTTCTCCTGGTCTGTCTAAAGCACGTTTCATGTGCTTCTGCAGCTCACACATCATGCAGAATCCCATAATCTTGCCTACAAGTAATAAAATGAAAAATGCCTTATTGTTTTGCAAAAACTTACTAGTTATTTCAAATGAAACTTACACTGAAAACTTTATTTTATTCATTAGGCACTTAAACAAGGAAGACATTAGACAAAGCACTTAAAACTTTCACTAACACAATGGATACAACTAGAGTGCTCAAGTATTATGTAAACTATTTCAATTTTTTTTTTGGTGGTTACGAGGTCAGTCAAATTGACCAACCTTGTATAGAGTTAGAGTAGAAAAAATAACACATAAAATATAAAGTCTTTACAACTTATGTTGGTGTGAATAGTAGTTAGACAGGTTCAAAGGACAATAAAATAATAAAATTTAAGTATAAACAGATGTATACTGTTACAAATTTAAAAATACTTAGGATAAACAAATGTTGTTTCATGTTACAGTTTGAAATCATTTTACAAAGAAAAAAAGGGTAAATTAGAGTTATTTCAATTTTTTTTTTGGTGGTTACCAGGTCAGTCAAATTGACCAACCTTGTATAGAATTAGAGTAGAGAAAATAACAGATAAAATATAAAGTTTTACTGAGAACAAACATTTGAAATATATTTAGGATGCTTTACATATTTTGGAAATGAAATTTGAGATTTTTAAAATTAATAAAATTATTTTTAATCTTAACATGAAAATCACTTTGGACATGGGTTGGTAAAAAAATAATACTGGATATATTCTAGGACAAATCTTTTCAGTTTATTAAAAATATTTCACTGAAAAATATGATTTTTTATATGTGAAAGACTTATAATGTTTACTGAAAGTGTGCCAAATTTTGTGACAATATACATACAACATCAAAAGTTAGTAGTATCAAATCTATAAAGACGTTAAATGAGTACAAAGAGGTTACGTGGTCTGTCTAATCAATCAGGCCCATCTTGAGAGAGTTAAAATAATTTCCTTAGCTACACAATCTGGACTTAGTGATAGCAAATTTCAAACTGCTGAGAACAAAGCATAGACCTCATATAACTAACATCATTCATGTGATATTTTCATCTTCAATGGCATTTTATGTGACACAATGTGCAGGTCAGATACCCACAGTGTTTGGGAACAGATAGCCCTAATTTCAAACTGTTGCCTTGATGGAAGGCAACCAGACAGCAGCCACAGTAACCTATTCTTAAATGAGTAGCAGGATTGACTATAATGTGACCACATCTGAAAATGTAAAGCACATTTGGAACATAATGCAGGATTGAATCTGCAGCCCAGCATCCTAGGCCACACATATCATTCACAAGTAGTAAATTGGTCAACATTATATGTTACTATTAAATGGTAAGACACTCATTTCTGATACATTCTGGCTTTTGACAACACATGCAGTCAGATACTCAATAATTTTAAAACAGTGGAATGTTGCTGAACAGCTTACTGCAGTGGTTTCCAAACTTTACACAGTGGTGCCCTCCATCCTTCATACTGAATAATTTTCACAAGTGATAATAACAGCAAATACAGTAGTTTGTTTGCCTCTCTTTAATCAGTTTTTTCTGCTTTTACTGTTATTCTTATGTTCTCCTGGCAAAAGCCCTCCCCCCCCACCACCACCAAAGGGGGGTGTGCCCCACAGCTTGGAAACCACTGGCTTACTGGAATATGACTAGAACTTGTTATACTCACATCTTGAAGAATGGTCATCTTCATGTAATAAGTAATTGGCAAGAGGAGGACAGTAGGTCAAGCACTGTATGACAGTGTTCATGAAACAGGTGTTTCCCAGGTTAACCAGTCCAGCCCCAATCTTGTGTATCTTCTTCCATTCTAAATGAATGTTGTTTTGAGGGTGGATTTGAATTCGTGGAGGAGGGATTCCATCTGAAGGAGGGTGAAGTTTTCTACCACCTCCATTTACCATATTTGAATGTTTTACTAAAAGAAAACAATTAAAACAGTAAATGTCATGAATGATCCTAAAATAATCTAATCTAATCCAACAATTGATGTAGTACTTTATTTCATCACATTTTAAATGAATCACTCTTAACCATCATCACATCTGGCAGACTCTTTATATAAAATACACTATCAGTAGTTTTTACCAACACAAAGGTAAATGTACATTTAAAACAATTCTTAACACTAATTAACTAATAGGTAAAAAAAATTAATGTTTTGTGCTTATTCTGTCTTAAGACTTAATGCACATCTATTGAAGATACCTGGTACCAAACTCTGAGCCTTATATTTATCGTTTACACTACCTACTTTTTTTACACTTGTTTACCATGTTTTATATACTCAAAGGTTTCTAAATTATGTTTTACATAACTATTAATTTTTTCACCTATATTTCAGAAGAATATCATTCAACTGCTACAAACTTTTCTGGGAATATCACGATTTCTGTGAAAACTGAACATATCAGAAGGTATGTCATTGTCAAAAAAGTTTCTCCTAGTAAGTTTAAAAATCAAGAATTCAATTCAAGTTCCATGTAATATTGGTTAGCAATTGTTGAAAATTAAAGATATTCCCATTTAATCTGTGCCTGCAGCTGTTTCTTTTCCTTCTCTCTCTCTCTAAGTGTGTGTGTGTGTGTGTGTGTGTATATATGTAAACACACTTTTTTTATATTTTCAAAATGGTTATTACAGGACCTCATAAATGTTATATTAGTATGTGTATTTAAATACACACGCACAAAACAGTTACCAAACAGTTTTGTAAGTAGGCTTGAATGAAAAAAAAAAGACTTTTAAACATGTTCATGCTTATTAAAGTATTTTGCAAGTCTCACAGATAACTTTAGTAAACTTGGGGTGGGAGTGGGGGACATACAAATTCCTATTCTGGAGCCAATAGTAGATTTGTTTGTAGTTAAGCACAATGCTACACAATGGGTTATCTACGCTCGGCCCACCACAATTATCAAAACCTGGTTTCTAGTGATGTAAGTCTGCAGATATTCTGCTGTGCCACTGGGGGCCCAATAGTAGAGCTGGAAATATTCTTTAATATTTTTTATGATGGGTCTCCATGCAACTGCATCCTTTGAAGCCCCCTAATGACACCCCTGGGAAGTCTTTGATGATAGAAAAAAAAAGAAAAAGTTACTGATATCAATCAAAAAGTGAATTTATTCCTTTCTTTATTAAAATAATAGAAACAGGTTAATGTAATAGTCCAAAATGATTAAATTATACAATCTCCTTACAGGGTAAGGAATGATGATTAAAACTTTAACTTAAATTTTAGATTTTTTTTTTATTGTTCTAGATTATAGATAATTATATTGAAATTCAGACTTGCATATGATCTTAAATGTGTCAATCAAAATAACTGTCACCATGGCGATGCAAAGTTAACGAGATGTTTCTGGGGCATGTGTTGGTATATTTGTGACTTGTAGGTAGAAATGTTTTTCTTCTTTTGTCAATCAGTAACAAGATTATAATTATTTGGAACAAACAGCTCATCACTAAGTGTTAAGCTATACAGCTGTTCTTTGACTTCAATGAACAGTCCATAACCTTGATAAACAGCTGTCTAGTAGCCTGACAAATAAAAACAAAAGTAGTTACTTTTAAGAAACTTTTCTGCCTAAGAATCACATTTTCTTCATACTAGTCTAAACAAAATGGCTTTTTTAATGTTAAGTATTACATTTTATTTTAAATGATTATTACATGTACATCTGAAGCAAGTGTCACTTACCATAACAATTTCAAATATGCATCATGAAAGAATTTGATCTGTTTATTTAAGTAAGTGTCACAGAACCTGTACTTTGCCATGGTCCATACCTGTGCTCAACTTTAACTTGATATTAACTTCACTATTACTAACCATGAGAATTTTTGTTATGGTCCACACTTGTACTTGACTTTATCTGTCCATTAAAATGTGTGTCACCAGCACCCAAATGGTGATACTTGGTCTGTAAAGACTGAGCTACAAGGGACTGCTCATTGTCACTAGCTGTAAACTCCACACGAGACATCAGAAGTGATGAATGAGAACCACTAGACACCTTGAAAAGTTAAAAGCCATAAATCTGTTATAAATGTCTAAGTACATACTCTAACCAAGTTTTTTCCATGAGAAAATGAATAACTTTTTAATATTTACTGATTATAAAAATAACATCAAACAATATTTATAGGGTCATAAATTTAACTGGCAAATAATTACCTTTTTCAATTCAACCAAAACAATGTAAGTAACAGTCATATTACATTAAATTTTACAGGAATTATGACAAGAATTACTAAGTCAGAAATTAAACAACAGTAGTAACAAGAGGCAGGCATTTATTAATCATGTAAAACACCTGATAAGATTCTACAAGAACAAAGTAGTCTTTGTACCCAGAGAAAAAATTCTTATGCAATGCCTGAATTTAAATGTAATATATGATAGAATAAATAGCCAGTCATAATATACCTAACTAGAAACCACATAAAAAGTAACTACCAAAAATATAACATGGATATTTTGTTTCTAGAAAATAAATAATATATTCAAGTTAATGTAAGACATATTCATATAAATTACCTATAAAAAGTATTAAATCAATTCTCCTACTTTCAACTTTATTTGCCAAAGATAGTTTTTGGATGAGCATTTAAGATGATAATTACAATACAAGCAACCATATCAGAACACCAAATGTAGCACTTACTGTTACTCTTTGAATTTCCTTAGAATGTTCTATAGTAGATACAAACAGCTAATGTATTAGCAGAGCTGTAATGTTAAGAAGACAGAGAAGTGCCTTCTCAATCTTACTGTAATAGGGTTAATATTGTTCATTAATGATTAATAAGAATTTTTGAGTGAAGTAAAAAAAAAAAGAGTGTATAATAATATGTTAACCACACTATATCTGCTATATCCAGTGCAAACGAGGTCTCTTGCCTAATGCCAAGGCTCTTCAGGCCAACTGGGACATGATAGACATAGTAACGGTTGATACACTAGCTAAAATAGCAAAATCTCTTCACAAAAACTTTTATTGTGCAAACTTTATTAAAAACAATGGTACTTTTTTGTACTCAATTGTACTTTCATGATAAATTTTATGCACTTTGCTCTAGGCTAGTTCATCCCACACTACATCTTTACTTTTGGCTTATTACACCAACACTCACTACACTTATAAGGTTTCACAGCACACACCTTCTCACAGACCACCCCGTCACTAAAACCATAGTAGGCAAACAGTAATGAAACTATTCTATCTGGATAAATGCATTTTGGCTTTTACGACTCCTCATATTTTGAGAAATCAAGCATGATGTGATGTGACACACACTGGCTTTTATATAGGTTATATACAAACATATACTGGATCTATAGTGATTTTTATTTCAGGTCGATTATCAGATGACCCAATCAATCCAAACTATGTTCCCACCATATCTAGTCACTGTACCCCAAGTAGTTCTGTAATTTTTGCAAAGAAAAGCCATTATGCAAGGGCCATAAAAAGAAAGGAATAAGCTCAAGTAGCTGAAGAAGAGTACAATAGTAAAAAAAACAAGAAGAAACGTCAAAGTATGAATGTGCTGAAGCACTGTTAAAATTATTCAGTCAGATGCCATGATTCAGAGATAAAGGTAAAAAGAAATCAGGTTATAATTGTAGATTATAAAACAACTGATATAAATACATTTTTTTAGATCACATATTTATTATAAAAATAACACCTGTTCAATATACACATAATTTATACTTAAACATAATACCAGTATTTAATCTGTAGTTATACTTTATGACATATATTCAACTGATGAAACATTACTCAGCTTAATTAAATGTTTTGGCATAATTGAAATAATAGATCTTTTTTTTCAGGAGTTAACCTAGACAAGTATCCATTACTGACAGCACATGAGGTCTTACAAATTAAAAACTAGAGACTTTACAATAAGCTAAAAAGAATTCAACAGGAGAATAATAAGCTTAAGCAGCAACTCAATAGATCACTCTTCAGTGTTGTGACTCTAAAATCACATGAAAATTCTGATAAACTTTACAACTTTATTTACTCAGGTTACATAACATGCATTTTCAACTGGATAGTGGAGTTAGCAAGTGATTACACCAACCCAGTTAATGTGATTGCTACAGGTCTTCTTATAGTCAGGGGTCAAAGGGCATGTAATCACATTGGTAGACTTACATTCAAAATTTTAATAAACTACTATTTTATAAATGAATGTCAATAAGCTTAGTATCCAACTGTAGATTATAATTCAAATTTTAGTATTATTCATTAATTTCTTAATTAAAAAAAACCCACCTAAATATCAATTTTTGTGTGTCACGTGGTATACTGAAAGCAGCTTTGGTTCAAATTAGATGTTTGTGATGTCCAAATACAAAGCCTACAGTTTCTTACAAACTAAAAACTCAAATTACCGATATTTTCAAGCTAGAATATATAAGAAGAAACCCCCTATTTTTGCTATTTGCTGAGATATCATTATATTTAATGAATCAAACACAGTAGACACACCCACTTCTTCCACTTTTGAAAATACTTCCTTACATACACCTGCTTTGCTATGTCACGGCTTTATAACAAATCAAAAGCTCAGAATTTTCCCCATGTGGTTTTCTCAGGCTTTTGAAAGTGGAAGTTCCCAAGATTATTTCTTTTGTCTCGAATCTCGGAAGGAAGGGGTAAGTGAAAATGTTGTTCAAAGAACATTTTTTTAAGAGACAAATACAGTTCAGTTAATAAATTACATTAGAATTCTGTGATATCAATATAGTAATTTAAAATTTTTTGTTATTTCAAAATGCAAATATAGAACCTAAAAAAAGTTATTTTGTTTTACATCCTCGATGTGTGAAATTCAGCAAGACTTAGTGGTTAGCATGCCAGGTACAGCAAGCGAATACAGACATTTTTACTATTGTAAGTAGTAGAGATCATTGTATTCTATATTTCTTTATTTACTGTTCCATGTTTTATGACAAATAACTATAATTTAAGAACTTATTTGTAAATATTAATAATAATAATAAATACACACACACACACATATATATACATATGTAATGTATTATAACTGAAATGTGACTATTTCACAAAATACTGGACCACTGGAACAAATTCAAGACAGGTCACTTCGTAAAGGCCAGTTTTATACTACTGAATATAGTAACATGAGCGCATGTGCACCGCATCATTGCAATTTCTGTCAAGTTAGTCAGGCATAGCTGAAAGGTCAATAAAATAATAAGTATATATATAGATGTACAATTTTATGAGATTTAAGCTAATTAGACTAAACATTTGTGGTTTCTTATTGTAATTTGTAGTAATTATAGAACAAAAAAAGCATAATTTACACCTATTTTTTAATTTTTTTTTATGTGGTTACGAGGTCAGTCAAATGAACCAAACCCATAGATATACAATAGTGAAAATAACTGATAAAATAGTTTTTTATATATAAAAATTTTTGATAATTATCTGGAAGTTATTAGGGTGTTATAAAGATTTTGCATGTGAAATTACACTATTTTCTGATGCATAAAAGTATTTTTAATCTTAAAATTATGTTATATAGTCAACACTGAAAAAGAAAAATGCACAAGCAATTCATTACTTAAAAAAATCTTAAAACTTAATTGAAAAAAAATTCTAGTATTTTATGAACGAAAGCATTGTAGTGTTTACTGATAATCTGCAAGATTTCGTGAAGATATGCATAGTGTAATAAAAGTTATAGTACGGAAATTATAACAAGTCAAAAATAGTTATGAGATCAGTCCCTGAGACTGAGCCTGAGATAGATGCCTATCCACATTACAGGGTCATTATTGAATGCTCAGAATTTTTTTTGATTGAAAGATCAAATTTAAGGGCAAGGGCTCAAACATGGAGTACCTATAAGCAGCAAAACAAAATGAAGTGTTAGTGGGGATTACTCTAACCAGTGTAATTTGTTATCAGTCATTATGTTGGGGAGGTAGAGTGTCAGAAAAAATACTGAAACAACAATGTGGGTTTCTCAATAAATTAGATCAAGTCTTAGTTGACAGAGGATTTTTAATAGCAGAAGATGTTGATAATGCAGGGGCTGAGCTTATTATTCCTTTCTTTACAAAAGGCAAGAAACAACTGTCACACAGAAAAGCTGAAATTTCTCTAAAAATTACTAGAGTTCAAATACATGTTGAAAGAGCAATTAGAATAAAGTTTGTTAAAAATTTTGAGTGATATCTGTCCAATAACTTTGCAAAGGCAGTGCAACAACATTGTTAAAATATGTGCAGCATTGAAAAAATATTAATCTCTGGTAAAGTAGTATTAAGCTGATGTATAAAGTAGACGGTAATAACTGATTTTGTATTGTGACATTATATTATTTTTATTCTATGAGCCTGTTATAATACCTGTGTGTCTGAGAATTAGGTGTTTGAGTGTGTTTTTTATGCTTAAGGACATTCTAAGTAGAACAATATATCAATCATATGAAATACATCTTCTGTTATGTTTCTGTATTGTCTGTCTGCTAATATGTATAAAAATGTTAAATGTGTATATTGATGATAAATATACTGATTTGTGTTTGAAACTAAATAAAATCAGTTATGAAGTCTTTCAGTACATTAGAGATCAAAGTAATCACGATTATTTGCAATGTCATCATAATCGAATACATTACTGATCTAATCACCCCATATCTGAGTGTCGGTTTTTAAATTAGATCTCTTCCAACAATAAAGAAAACCTGTGTATAAACATACAGCTAACTCGGCCACGTGGAGCTTTACTGCCAACCAAACAGATCCAGGTGCATGACCTACTTTGGCCTCTTGCCAAACACTGCAGCAATGAATGAGTAGATAACTTGATGCAATTCATGAGAGAAATGACAGAAAAGAAAATCTTTCTGAAATTACAATGAAGAAATGTTGCAAAGTAGCCTGAAATCACCATATTCTTCCTGATGCCACATAATATCTACAGATGGCGACTTAATTGGTAGCTGTGCAACAGTTTTACTAAAGCTGTATAACTCAAAACTAAAAAAAACATCCAAAAATTATTGTGTAACAGATAAATGCTATAAAACATTATAGCACCACCAATCATAATTATTAAGACGTGTTTTTTCCTTAGGCATAATATAGTAATTGCTTCAAGAATCTAGAATGAACAATAAATACTTGTTTGAAAAACAAAAAACATTTTTCTTCAGTTTATTTTAAATTCCACATAACTTCAGAAGCAAGATGTATCAAAAATGGCAGCTTAATTTGATGAAACTATGTTATCATTATCAAGTCATTATGAGATTACCAGATATCATGAATAAAACGATGTTCAATGCTTCACAACTACAGCAAAAGCTTTAACATACGAGACCTGCTGGACTTGAGCAGTGGTGGATAGAAAATTGAACACCTTGATAATGTTCTAAAGTATAATGTTTCTACATCATCTATAATAATAACTGTTTTAAGCAATAATAAATGTTGTGAAAAATCTGAAACTGTGTAAAAACATTTATAAATACTGTCTTTTAAATAAAATAAGATGATATATTGGTGGCTAACAACTGAAGTGACAGTATTAATTAACTAAAGTTGTGAACTTTCCAGAAGCTTTGAGAGCATTTTGAGGTATTCCAGATGTAACTGTAATGAATGCCGGTTCCTACAATGAATACTTGTATGTATTTGGAGATATTGAAATTTCCAGTTACAAAAGCTTTCTGGGTGCAAAGGTGCTGGATAACAAACTTTTACTGTAATTCAGATTTTTAAATGACAGCCATAAATTGTATGAAAATATAAGTAAACCCTATAACATGATTTGATTTGCAAATCAAAACTATATAAATTTGAAAATGCAGTCTGAGACAATTTTAATACAGTTTACTACAGTTTATATACTGGTTCAATGTAAATTTAACATAACTTGTATTACTCAATATATTACTGTGATAGTTGTTGAATGATATTTTGAGAGCTTTAACTCAACCAAAGAACAAGCCTCCTTGAACATGTTAGGACATAGTTAAAGACTTGTTAAACATGTTCCTATGCAATAATCCACTTCAGAAGCCAATCTGAAATTCTTAAATACATGCTTAGTCCAGAGTAATGGTGGAGTTAGTAAGATTTTATATCTTTCAATCACATGAAAAGCACTAAGAGATATTATATAGCTTGGCTATTCAGATGATACCCAGTTTTTAAAAGAAGCAATGTTTGTTAAAATGTTATATGTTTTAATAATAATGAAACCTTTCAAATATAAAATGTGTATGGACATTCAAACATTCATTACTTAAGTGTCTTCTACTAGCATATTCCCATGGCTAAGATATAATTCACAAACTTCTTTAGCCAGAAAAATAAAAATAAATTTTATAAAACAATGAATAAGGGACTGAATGAAATATGACAGGGCAGCCAATGGACACTGTCTAACTGTGAATTCATTAAGTAGGAAATCTTAACATATATTTGGTACTACTGCCTGCAAACAATATATCATTTGAACAGTTGTAGGGATGGTTGTTTCTAAAATAAACTAGTAATCTAAGTATAAAATGAACTGAATGGCAAATAAAAAATATGGATAAGTTGATGCAACCATGAAAACACAACAGAAAGTTCAAATGGAAGATCTCGGAAATTGAATTATGACTTTAGAAACTTCCATCTCAAAAATTCTGTGAAGATGATATGATTCAGTATACCTAAGCTTAAACAACACTGGTTGGATCAGATTTACTTTGGAACTGAATAACTGAGATACTTGCTGAAGGGAGAAAGCTGGATCATTTTAAAGATAGGCTCCTACTTTATTATTAAAGTCATAAAGAAACACTAGGTCTATTGTTGAGTATGATCTAATGTTTCTCCTTTAACAAAACTTTGGAAGAAGTAAACAACTGAAATACCATCCAAGATAGTTGAGGCTAACTAAGAGAAAAAGAACTATATCTATATATATATAAATAAAATACATCTACTAAAACAAACCATTTTCTGGACAACTGGTAAATGTAAAAGATCTTTAGTAAGAGAAAAACCACAAGTTAGAAGTCTATATTTAAACAACTTAACCACTACATGTAAAGAGGAATTTAAATTATAAGCAAAGTATGGGCATAAAATGTATTAAACTGACTAGCATAAAATACTCCAGGTTTCAATGCCCACCCCCTCTTGATTCACAGAGGCCCCAATGTACTAATCAAGCTCCTCCATTATCCCCAATTACTTCTGTAGCTATCCCAAGGGTTGTCTGTACCTAAAAACACACCCTGTTGTGACAGTATGAACACGGTTTCAAACGTGGTAAGTCTAGGATCCAGACAAAGGGCAAAGAACAAAAATTCAGATGCCAAATTTGGGTTCAACTATCCTGAAACCTATTCCTAGACTCCTATCATGCCAGGGTGACCTACTGGGCTATGCCATATAAATAAGGACACCTCCTGGACACACTGAATCTGCCTACCAAATTTGCTCCTGACAGCTCCAAAACTATGAGAGATGTTTGGAGATAAGTTCACAAACATACAACATGAGTTAATATAGAAAAATACCATACAAACAGAATTTTGCCCCACCCTTTCAAAAATGTTTATAGAAATCTGAAATTACTACAATAACCGCAAGTATTATAATTCATCATAAACAAACCACAAATTTTCCATTTCTTTCAGCTAATAAACCAAAATGTGAGATTTGAACAGGAAACTTTACACCAGAAAAATACATCATAACCTTTCTTTATTTACCACCAATGGATGAATGATTTGGTTCTTTCTTTTGTTGTTTTTACTACAGCTTTTTAATTTATGGATGTTTGCGTGTTTTTACATACAGAAGTTCATTTTTTATATTAATATTATTCTCAAGTCTCAACACAGCATTAGTATATGTTGCTATGTCTGGCTATGCACTATCTGATGAAGCTTCCATTGCAAAAGGCTCTATCATAAAGCTTCCATAAAGCCCTCTGCAGAATTTTAATAAGCCATCTAGTGTATTAGAATGATGGTTTCCCAGTACTTATTTCAACAGTCCAACAGAAATCCATACGCACTGCTACCATTCCCTAAACTAGCATGTCTTTGTATGGAATAGCATAAATACACATTTAATTTTGAGGCTTTTTGAGGTGTGCAACATTTGAATGCACATGTCATTGAAGCAACTTGTTTACATGACTTGCATCACTTTTCTAAATGGAGATCATTTATGATTATGTTGCATACTGTTGTCTGGGAAACTTTCACAGCTTTTGTCACTGACTATTATGTTCATGGATTCTAACCTATTACAAGATATTACTCTTTATTTACTATAACTGGGGTATTTAACTTGTTGCAGGTCACTTTCTGAATTGTTCTAGTGCCAGAGGTTGACCTACATTTCATTGTTTTCCAAAGCCATTAAGTACAAGGAAACATCTAAACACATCTTTATGATCTAAGCATATGAACATTTTGCATGCATCATAAAGAGTTATTACATTCCCTTCCTAAAAGCAATGGCATCACACTATGTACAAAATTCCAAACATTGTTAAAATGTAGTTATGATACGTGCCATTCCACCATAACTTTATTTCAGCTGTAGTTGTCATTTGACTGGCTCATTTGAATATTCAAAATTGTTTTAATATAAAACTTATAACTTTCTATACATACTAATACTCAGTGAATTCATGTTACCTAGCATTCACTGTTCTCACCAGCTTACATTTTAGGTCACACATGTTTACAATTGCTTAAAATGTCTTAATGTTAGAAATTACTGATTTACTTAAATATGAGTGTAAGTTCTAGAAGATAGCAATAAAAAAATAATCATCTTACCTGTTTACCAATGTTTAGCGAGTTCTTGATGCTTGTAGTGATAGGTGAGTTAATCATTCTTACTTAGGTAAATGGAATGGCAAACTTTTTAAAGTGATTTTTAACAAGAATCTCCAAGCTATTTTTAACTGCTGAATTCTGCACTAGGTTTACATCAGTGACTACTCACAGAGATTTTGCATGGAGTTTCCTATACAAAAAAATAATTAAAAGTATGTGATAATGCAAATGAAACAGTTTTCATAAAATAAAATGTTATTTAAGCATTGAAATCTTCTGTAAACACTTTCAGTGGCTTAACAAAAACAAATCCTAATATAACACAGTGTTCCTTCAAAGGCTGGTTCTTTAAAAACACTTTCACAAAACATAAACTGCTGGTTTTAATAGATTTATTCAAGTTACATATAACTAAAAATACAACAAATTTTTTAGTTCATTTACAAAGCACAAACATGAAGATTAAATAACTGTATTGATATTATTGCCCTATTAGAATTATATTCTCGTTACTTTTATATCTTCCAAGTCAAGAGAAATACAAAAATGAATAAGAGCAGTGGCTCATTATGATCATCGACGAAATTCAACTTTAACGATAAATTAAAACAAAGAGTTAAAGAACAATTCTTGGTAAATTGTTTGGATATATATATAAGTAGACAATTTAATTTCACCTAAAGATGACAGTTTTCAAGATTTAGTTTATAACCACAAAAGTAGGTTTGTAACATCATTTCCACTACCAATTCTATTATGAGTTCAAATTACCAATCACTGCTCAGAATTGAAGAACAAAGATCACAAACAAATAATCTAAGGTCAACTGTCTATGTGTGCCTGCTACAGAAAATAACCGAAGTAAGGTTTTTCTAAAAGAAAAAATACAGATATGTGGTTTAGATAACTGCCTTGAAACCTATGATAGGATGGGAAGAGCTTGTCTAATGTCTAGTCGGTTTGACAAATTTATTAATATCTCTGTCATTATCTATAATTTGTCTCTAATTAGTTGAAACCCTGAAAGCATATTAAGTAAGAAGGAAAATTTGTAAGGGAGAATTCATTAAGATTTTATTTGAATATTTCCTTTCAAAATTAAGAAATTTAAGCTTAGATAATATAAAAAAATTTAAATTAAAAACTGTTTTAATGCCAAGTTTATTGACATACATTAATAATAAAGTTGTTTAATTACATTTCAATGTGATGTTTTTAAAGGCTTGTGACATGCACACCTTAACCCAACCCAAACACACAAGGTTAACTAGACCTTTAAAGGGAAACAACTCTTACATGTAAGTAATATGTAAGATCAGGATACTGCTAATATTACACACATTATCAAGTACATAACATAGGATTGAAGAGTGTGTTAGCTTTAAGACTGACAACATGTGAGAGAGCTGGAAGCAGCAGTAATATCATGTCTCTCTCATTCTGAGATGAGTTATGTGAAATGAACTTTGGGAAGGAATGATTGAATGAAGGTGAGAAGGGTAATTCTTAATTTTATTAGTCAATGTTCTTTCTCATTCAGTGCTTTTTGTGGCATACTTTCAGGAATACTTACTCATAACAAAAAATAGTAAGTAACTATCTCAACTAAGTAAATTGAGGTTGGATTCATTGCTCCATGCAACTAGTGTTGGGAGTAGTATATCATAAAATTTGTGACAAAGTAAGGATCCACTAGCCATGGTTGCTCAGTGATCACATTATATGCATTCAGTTCAGTGTTTGCTATTCTGTTGGTACATCACAAAAATAAAGGGTGATGTTATTAATTGCATTTTATTTACTCTTTGATAATTTACTGTCTAGAATTCAAAAGTATTTGGAATTACCTACGCTGGTCAAAGCAGTAAATAATGGCAAAATACAGGATATTTTGAAAGCCAATTTAGGGCAGATATTACCTTTTTGAGAATCAAACTTTACAAAAGTGTGCATATTGAACTTGCCTACTCACATTCACACCATTAGTTAAAAAAAAAAGAATACTGACACAAATTTCCTTTTACTGCTGGTCAATGATTGGGAGTACTGAAAATTTTGACATTTACTGGAAAATTTCATGTGGCTCTAGAATCAAAAGTAGGCAGAGCTGATAAAAGAAAGTTGCAGATCTGTTCTAGAGGTGCATAATGTTCAGGATAAAGCAAAATATTTATCATTTTTAATTACAGAAAAAATAAACAAGCAAATTTTATGCATAATGAGCACAATGTGTAAAGAGAAAACACTACAGTAGTTTTTTCTTTTTTTCATGTTTTGGCTACAAAACTCCCATTTTGTTTGATTAAACAACAGTTAAGATATTAAAACATATTCTATTATTTTAATCAAGTACATTTTAGTTCATTCCTGTACTTTTTCAGAAAAGCATTATCTTTACTGGAATAAGATCACAACTGGATCCAGTACACATACAGAAATGCATAATAATATCTATATAAATATAATAGTGCTGTCTGTTGCATGTCCATGTAACTACATCACAGGGTGTGGATGGATTTTTATCAAAAGTAATATGAAGGTTTATTAGGCCCATGCAGAGGTACATACAAATTTTCAGTTTTGCATTTTGAAGTTTTTATGGGCATTTTTTACCACTAATTTGCTTCTTGTTGATGGATCTTCATCAAATTTGACAAGAACATTTGTTGGGTCCATGCAGAGATACAAAGTTTCAGTTTTGCATTTTGTGGTTTTTATGGGCATTTTTTACAATTGTCTAAACATTCCATTATTGTCAGAAACCATTTCAGAATGTCTGGGGAAATACCTTCATTAAAAAGCTCTTTAAAAATTGACATTTAATAAATTATAATTAGCATGATTTTAAAAACTATTCTACCCCACCAACTTAAAAGAAGTATAGTATCTTGTCAGATATAATGCATCTTGATTTTTAAAAGTCATTTGAAAAATTACCTTATTAAGGGTGAATTACTGACTTAGGTTCATGTAAAATTGTATAAAAATTGATTTGGTGATAGATAGCAAAAGGAAATGATAAATGAGTATATATATATTATAATCGGAAGTATACAATTAGTGGGGCCAATCAGCTGTGTGGTACACAACCTTTACTCTTCATTATATATGTCTACTTTCTGGATAGTTTACTTGATCACAGTAATTTTCAAATTTGCTAATGAAATTAAACCTCTTGAAAAGAGAGGTCCTACAGATATTTTATTTAATTCAAAAGGACCCGATCAATCTCAAGGAGTAGGTAGGAACACACACACAAAAAAAAGGGTTTTGAAATTAAAAGTAATATGATATATTGGAGCACAGAAATTTGAAAAAAAAAGATAAAATGCATTCTTTATACACAAGAGCATTAGTATTTAGATGAAAAATGATTTTGGCATTATTATTGAAAAACTTCAAACTTCTTGAATTGTTGGCTGTGATGATGATGGAAGCTTGTAATTTATTGGGATCCACTAACACAAAATTTTAATTTATAATTAAGAAAGTTATTGTATAAGACTTTATTTAGGTCCCATTGGTATACAGTTTTGGTCCCTCTTACAAAAAGGATATAGAGATGGAAAAAAAGGACAAAAAATTTACAGGTTTATAGAGAGAAGTTTACAGACCTGGAACTAATTTTCTATAACCTAGATCTAAAGGCAATTTGATCCAACTAATTAAACTTTTTAGGGCTTCAGAAAATTTCTTATGTTAGATATGTTTCATTAGTGAACTGGTATAATTCAATAAAAGGACTTAAGATAATAAATTCAGACTTGATTTTCAGCAGAATTACTTCATTTCAATTATAAGCCTGTGAAATGGTTTCCTGAAAACTTGGTGTATGACATCAATAAAAATTTATTTCCACCCTTGTTGGATAGGTGAATGGATAAAGGTTGTAATGGGTTATTTTTTTAATATTCAGTATCTAGAATACTTGTCACTTTGCTGAATGTTCTGTTTGGCCAGATAATAATGGCTATTTGGCAGTCAGATAGTTGAAATTTTCATATCATTTGCCAGGAATACAAGAATAGTACAGCCTAGAACCTACTATATAAAATTATAACAAGTAACTAACACACAAGTTCAGTCAATCAACTTTATTAATTAAGAATAGCAATAAATTAGTAAGTTGGATTTTTATAAAGATTACAAACATAATTAAACATATTTGGTTATTGGTAATGTGTTTATGTACATAAATCTATTTAATTTTGATATCTTACAAAGCTTATGATCCTTCTTACTGTCAAAAAAATCTTACTAAACTCTGTAAATTGAGCTAATTTAGTAAGTGAACACTACAGTTTTCTAAGTAATCACCTTAATCTTTATTATCCTAATTAAGACTATTTTAATGCTTCTAGTAAAGTCATCAGAATTTAATATTTACAGTATTTTAAAGATTTATAAAACAAGGTACTATTTTCTTATTAATACGCATTTTTCAATTATCAATCAATTGTTAAAACTATTTAGTAGGCCTAAGTATTGTTGTTTTGCACTCTTGTAACACTACACTCATATCAATATAACTCATTAAGCTGAACACTTATTTATTGAAGACAAAAGTTTACTTTCTCATTAGGATTTCTGACTTACATATCCTTACTCAGTACTTGAGTTTGAGGTTGTGATGTAAGAACACAAGCCACTGTGCATTTTGTGGAAGCAACCAGTTTCTCTTTGGCTCATAAATAATGCTAACTTCTGAGAACAGGCACTCACTAGACACAATGCTGGTTGGGGCTGGCAGGAGTCTTTGTGCTAATTGAGATATTACTGGAAACGTTTTTATTCAGTTTCCACCAAATTAATGGATTAGACTGCTTCTTTAGTCAAGGATTAGACTGTTGCTTTAAAAGTGGCAAAAATAATCAGAAATTAATTTTAAGATGGTCTACTGATTCTCCACTCTTATTTAGTGAAACAGATGCCATGTTATTTTGAAAGCATGGCAACTGTAGCAAGACAGTTAGTTATAGAAACTGTGTATTTACATGAACTAACCCTAAATATTCTATGGAAACACAGGAATTAATCTGAATCATGTACATATTAATCCCTTGGTTTTATGTAAAAAGAGTGAGAGGTTAAAAATAAGTAAGCATCACGAGCAGAAAAGGTTTTCCTCAAGGTCTTAAAGGAGGTCAAAGATCAGACATGCAAGTCTCTGTCTCTCTCATTTTTGGTAGATCAATAGACAGTGACTAGGTGTCTGAGAGGGAGAGCTTTGAAAAAGTGTTTTTTTTCTTACTTTTCTTGTTTTAGCCTTTTAGCACTTGATTCATTTTACCAGGTTAACAAAACAGCAGTTGTATGTATAATTACATACTTTATACTACTACTAGTTTAAAAAATAACTGGCCCGGTCAGCACTGTAGTGGTATGTTGCTACAGGCCAAACTGAGATTTCTATCAGTACCAGGCCTAGTGTCCATGGTGAAATTTGAACCTTGAGAAGTTTGGATTTCCTTGTTGTCCTTAAATGTTATGTAAACGATCTGTAAATGAATATCCCGTGAAACTAATGAAACTATTTTAAATACTAAAAAGACAATTAACAACCCAATACATATAATGAAACTTGTTTGACAATGACATTTGAATTCTGACCAGCTATTACAGTCTTGCACAGACTACTAATCAGTAACAACTGAATATGGTTGGTCATATGGTGCAAATAATTTTACTGATTGTATAGTGTAACTCTTTAACTTAACACTTAATGATCCATAACTTTCTCATATCACTCCTGAATAATGTTATTTGGTAAACAAGCTCCCTTCCCTTTGTTACCATGTGAAATTGATATGCTACATAATCCAGTAGACAATAGAATACAATATGTTACAATAGAAACCCTTGAAGTCTTGGATATAAGTATTTTTCAGGTGATTGTGCACTGGAGTAGTAGAAACTCCTTTCGTTTTATTACAATATGAAATTGATGTACTATATAATTTTGTTTTTTCCATTTTAAATCACTCATAGTAATCAGTGAACACAAAGGTTAACACTAAAAGCAATCATCAACAGAGTCTGATTCTCAGAAATCAGTGTGTGCACTACAAATAACAGACCTGTTTATTGACAATATCTAAGGGCAACACAGCCAGATGACTGGCTTCTAGGATATCTCATTACAGAAATCCACTAAATTCAGTCAGAACTGAGATTTTGAATTAGCAAAGATGAAATATTTGTATCCTTAAATATTGTAATTATGTATTATCATTAATATTTTTCTATAAAATCTTAATCTTCGAGGTTATTCACAGACAAAATCAAGAAATTAAAGAGAAAAAAAAAATGACAATTTGTTTTTTTATGATGGTGTTTTTTTTTCCATTGTACTTGCCATTTACCATAAAATGCCACAGCTTTTTCATATGCCATCATAGATTTCGAGGACTGTAATTTACTTCATAAAATGATTCCAGGGATTGAAGGATCTTGTAGAAAATTCAGCCACTACAGGAAGTACATACATCATGGTGCCAAGAAAGAAAAATAAGAGGAAATAAAAATTACTTTTTGGTAATTTTGTTCTATGATTCATTTATTCAAGATGTTCTCAATACAAACAAAGATTTTATAGCGGTGATTTTACACAGGTCTTGACTAACAAGTACATATATACATTCAGTTGTCCAAAGGAAATTTTCACTTGTCTTAGGCAATCGAACAACCATTAATGTTGAGCCCTGGGTAGTTTTTACTAGCCTCACAGGAATTATTAACCCTCTAACTATGGGTTTGGTTGATTCAACCATGTTTGTAACCCAAAAGTGGCCCTCAGAGTTTCCATACTATAACTTTTAATATGTTTTGTGTATCTTCACAAAATTTGGCAAGCTTTCAGTAAACATTGAAGTCTTTTGTATACAAAAAAATCAGATTTTTTAATTAAGAATTTCTACTAATGTATATATGGAGTGAGTGTTGATTGCTCCAAGTGTAAAATGATTTATGTTAAAATTAAAAATAATTTTCTTCATCTGAAAATTGCTAAAGTTCATTTGTATAATCTCTACGACTTCCTACATAAAAATCAAGCACTTTTTAAGTAAAACTTTATACTTTATCTGTTATTTTCTTTATCCTAACTCTATATGCATTTGGTCAATCTGACCAACATTGTAATCTCCATGAAAAAATGTGAAATAAATCTAAATTACCCCTTTTTTTCTTTCTAGAATGACTGCAAATTGTAAATGGATACTACAATTATTCATACTAAATAGTTTAAAGCACACAGCAGTATTATTGTTTCTGATTACTACTATTTCTAATTATTCCAACTATCCACGTCTCCTGTAGGAATAACCAAATAACTAATTGGCTAGAAAATTACACTAACTGCCCAGCTCAAATATCCCAGCATGTGTTAAGTTTGTTGGATGTAAAGCTGTGACCATAATGGTTTGTGCAGCTCTATATTTGAGATAAATTATGTCAGAAATTACTTTGCTCATTTAACATTCAGTTAAATTATATGTGTATAATTACATTATTGGAATATTATTTCTTAAACATATCAAAATACTGGCAAAATGTCTTAAAGGCAAAATCTGCATTCAGTAATATTTCCCAAACCATGTCAATGTATTTAAGATAAATTTAAAATTGAAGATGTTTTGAGTTAGATATATGCAAAGAATAAAACTCATGCAGAAATAATGAAAAATGTTCTAACAAAAACTGTCCAATAGATAGGTAGTTATAAACCAACCAGTCTCCTCCAGTGGATCAGAGGTTGGGCTTACAGACTTGCAATACCAAAATTCAAGTCTCACTTCCTTATGGCACATGATCATATCTTTACACTCAAAACAGACAAAAAAAAATCACCCAATCAACAAAATTATTAAATTTCACTATATGAAATATTGATTGTCTGAGGATTGACAAGACAATAAAGACCACATTTTAAGTTCACTATAAAAATTTATACAAATTATCCTATGGCATTGATATATCCAATCCATGAGAAAACACTGAATACACTAAAAATACTGTGATTTGTGCAATAGCTGTGATGTTCTAATTTAGATTAAGTTATGAACTATATATTAATTCTATTGCTATGGGTTTTCCTATGGTCAGGGGTCAAAGGGCATGTCATCACGTTTGTAGACTTGCATTCAAAATTTTATTAAACTACCATTTTATGAATGAATGTTAAGTTTGGTATCAAACTGTAGATTAAAATAAATATAAAAAAAATCTAAATATTTAATTTTTTGTGTCACATGGTAAGATGAATGCAGGTTTGTTTAAAATTTGATGTTTGTGATGTTCAAATACAAAGTCTATATTTTCATACAAAATAAAAACTCAAATTACCGATATTGAGAAGCTAGAATATAAAATAAGAACCTCCTATTTTTTCTATTTGCCAAGATATCACTATATTTAGCAATCAAACACAGTGGTCCTGCCCACCTCTTCCATTTTTGGAAATACTTCCGTACGTACACTACTTCACTTTAGCATGTGTTTATAACCAACCAAAAGCTCAGAATTTCCCCCATGTGCTTTTCTCAGGCTCTTGAAGGTGGCAATTTCCCAAGGTTATTTATTTTGTCTCCAATCTCATAAAAAAGGGGTAAGTGAAAAACAATCTTTTTTAGAACCAAATACAGTTTAGTTAGTAAGCCTGATAAATTAGTGGCTTATAACTTTAATTTTCTCAAAATGCATATATAAAACCTAAAAAACTTGTTTTTTTCACATTCTCCATAAGTGAAAGTTGGCAAGGCTTAGCATGCCAGGTACAATGAGTACAAACTTCTTTACAATTGTAAGTAGTAGAGATCATTGTTTTCTATACTTTCTTTATTTACTGTTCTATGTTTTAAGAAAAATAACTGAAATTTAAGAACTTATTTGTAAATAGTAATAATATATATATATATATATATATATATATAATGTATTATAAGTGCAATGTGACTGTGTTTTACAAAATACTGGTCCACTATAACACAGCCAAGACAGTCACTTTGTAAAGGCCAGTTTTATACTCTTGAATACAGTAATGAGTGTACGTGTGCTGCATCATTGCAACTTCTGTAATGTTAGTCAGGCACAGCTGAAAAGTCAATAAAAATAAAAATATATATATATATATAGATGTATAATGTTATGACATTTAAGCTATTTAGAATAAACAGTTGTGTTTTTGTGTTATAATTTGTAGTCATTCTAGAATGAAAAAAGTATAATTTTCATCTATTTCCTAATTTTTTATGGTGGTTACGAGGTCAGTAAAAATGACAAAACCCTTACAGAGATACTGTCATGATATAAAAGACTGTTTGGTTTAAATATTAGTGATTAATTTATATTTATGAGTGAATATTTTTATTATTTTTAAGTTTTGTTATAATAAGAGTTAAAAGCAAACAATTGTAGAAGGTTTTGTTAATAACTAATTGGTGTCGAGAATATAGAAAGTAGCCAGACGACTATGTAATAAAGATATAAATAGCATGAGACAAGCGGGAGGCAGTAGACAGATAACAGAAAAAGAGATAATAATTGTTTGAAGTTAAGTACCACAAAGGTGATAGACTAATGTAGAACATGTAAGAGTGAAACTAACAGTATAAAAAAAAGATTAGAAGGATAATTTTATTCCATCAAAGCATGGTTCTAAAGTAATTGAATCAGCCTGGGTACACTTTGACAAAAAGGAACAGAGGATCTTCAGAAGAAAGAAGACCAAACAAATTATGGTAACTTGCACCACAACTGTAAGTGAACCATACACAGAATACTAGTACGATAGTAATATAGAGAAGATAGTTCAACTTGCCAACTCAAATTCTAAAGTAATTCAATAGGCCTAAGTGGACTTTTGACAAAAAGAAGAGAACTATATATAAAGTGTTTATGACATGCCTGTAATCTCTATAGTGTGAAGACTTTGTTGTACATACATTTAACTTGGTCCAAATACATATATATATTATTACCATTTACAAATAAGTTCTGAAATTGTAGTTATTTTTCTTAAAACATAGAACAGTAAATAAAGAAACATAGAAAACAATGATCTCTAC